CCTTCTGTCAGTTAAGATGACTTTATCTGCAAATAACAGAAAAATCCTGATTTAAATAGACTTAAGTAAAAAGAAAGCAAGAAATCCAAAGATAGGGCAGTTCCATGCATAATCCGATGAGATTCAATAATGTTTTGGATTTTGTGCTCTCTTATACATTGGTTACAGGATGTCTACTACACAGCCAGGCACAACTTTGTCCAGAGGTAGAAAAGAATAATTTCTTCCATGTGATTGAAGAGGACTTTCCTAGAATCCCCTTCTCAAGTCTCATTGGCTAGAACTACACTAAAATGTGTCCACCCTCAAACTGACAAGGGACATGGGACCACCATAATTAACTTAGATCAATAAAGAAAATCATAGCCTTCCTTGAGTCAAAAGGGGCCAGGGGGAACCCCCAAACAAAATCAGAAGAGCAAGGATGAGGTAGAGAATGGGTAGTGGGGAGGCAACAGAGAGAAGTGGTATAAATATGAAGAGGTTTTAAATTTTATTTCCTAAGGACAATACAAGGTCAGTGCTCCAGTACTAAAATGAATTAGTTTTACTTGAAATTTTTTTTCTAGAATTACACATACTTTAGTTATAGCATAATTTTATAAAATCAAAATTTTATTTGCTAGATGTATTAGAAATTTTATTTGCTGTGTTTATCAGAATTTTTTTTGCTAGATTTAACCGACTATTTATTTATTTATTTATTTATTTATTTATTTATTTATTTATTTATTTATTTTTGTTCAAAATATTACAGATGTCCCTTTTTCTCCCCAATGACCCATTCCACCCCATCCCTTCCCCCTCCCCAGTCCCTCTCCACATCATTGTCCGTGTCCTTGGGTTGTGCATATACGCATATAAATTCTTTGGTTACTCTCTCCCCCTCCACCCACCTGCCCTCTTCCATCCCTCTGACATTCATCAGTCTGATCCCTGCTTCCATGTCATTGAATCATTTCTATTCCTCAGTTTATTAAGTTCTTTAGGTTCCACAGATAAGCGAGATCATGTGATGTTTGTGTTTCTCTGCCTGGCTTATTTCGCTTAGCATAATTTCCTCCAGGCCCTTCCATACTGTCCCAAAGGGTACGAGATCCTTCTTCTTTACAGCTATGTAGTATTCCATGGTGTAAATGTCCCACACCGACTCTTAACAATATAAACTTTATGATGAAATGAATGTAAATTAGACATAATATGTATTAACTTTCACTCAGTCATTAATTCATAATATTTTCATGACTGCTTATGTCTGCCAAGGCCCTGGATAGAGTAGTGCATGAAATCAGCCATGGTCCTCCACGTTCTCACGGAGCAGTTAGTCTAGAGGTGGAAAAAGACATTTGTAAAATAGCCACATTATTAAATGTGGAGTAGGTGGCACAAGAAAGTCTTTTGAGAAGAGTTAAGCAGGATTTATCTGGGTACATATGGAAGCCATTGAGGATGGTAACCTTTTCAAGCAGAGAGCTGAGGATATGAAAATGCTCAATGACAGAGTGAGCAGGATAAAGTCCGTGAATTGAAAGGCGAGTGTATGAGAGAGAGTGGCCTTGCAGGACAGGTGAGAGATTTTTACCACCCCCCCCAAAGGCAGTAAGAAGTGTAAGGGTTTTAGTTAGGAGTAGAAGGAGAGGGTGACTCCCAGAACTGTCACTGAATAGATTAAACTAAAGAGAGTTTGTGGCGGGGTGGAGGAGATCAATGGGGGAAAAAGTGGGGGACATGTGTAATACTTTCAACAATAAAGATAAATTTTTTAAAAAAGCAAGAGAGTTTGTGGAATATCTCTTCCCAGGTGCTTGTCAAGAGGAGCCTGTTTTTACAGCGTGATGATTTTAAATTTCAGTATCAGAAGGGTTCTCTACAATCTAAACTGTAAGACATGAACGGAATGTGAATTTGTAAAAGTAATATTTTAACAAGTTTAACAGTTACAGAGTAGTGGAAATGGTATTTTAATTAACCTTAATATTACAGCAAGATGGCATCATTAAATATTTTTCAATTGTTAAATGTAAGAATGGCCATGCAAGTAGAGGCTTCATTCCGGGGCTTTTGACAGAAATTTATGTTGCTACCGATTCAGAGCGCTGATAACTTCCTGTGAGAAAGTGACTGCTGGCGGTTGGCCTTGCTGAACGCTGCGAGGACCTTACGTGCTGAGAGAATGACAGTGTGGCTGATGTGGTATTAATCTCTGCTATCTGATTTTCTAATGCCACTTTTCAAACTCCTTTAACTCTTAAAAGTTGGCTTGCACATTTTTAGTGGTGTTTTAGCACAATGAAAAGTGGGGTTTTTGAGTTAGAAAGCCACGTGATTTTTACTTGACTGATTTTTTGACTCAGAAGCAGCAATAATTGAAGTATTTTTTAAATTATTGAGATTTTAATTGAAGTAAATGGGACAATCTTTAAGTAGGTCATATTTTACTTAGTTTAGTTGGTAAATTATAACTTTGGAGAACATTTTGATATTTGAACCTTCACTAGTAACTAGGGAGTATGATTTGTACAAAAGGGCTTTGTTGTACTTTTAAATAATAGATTTGTAAAAGTAAGAGATTGAGAACTAAACACAAAGGATGGCAAGATCGAGGATGTGGGGAACCTAGGAAGAGGCTGCATCCATTTAGGGTCTGTGGGACCAACTGTAAGTCCTTAACAGCCTTGAGGGATGATCGGCTAGGAAAGAATGTGAACTGAGTTATCTCCCTGAAGCATTGCTGTCGGCGAGGGTGGTGGTGGTGGGACAATCCTTGGGCACAACGTCACAGGAAAGAAGGTGACCAACAGGAGAGTTTTGCTAGTCAGAGGCCAACTGTGTTAATCACTTAAAGTATTAAAAAAACATATGCCAGTGCCAGTCAATAAGTTCCACTCTCCTTTCTGTCTCAAGCCACAGACAAAACTCCAGCTCATTCTCCTGATACCTTCTCGTGTGTTTTGCATACTCTTTTCGAGCATCTTTAGTAAATGCTTTAGTCCATGGGATAGGAGCCCTAGGTGAACTCACGTGTTGCAGTCACTAAAGAAATTGACCCAGGTGAGTGGGAAAGTAGGAAGATGAACGTTTAATGTTTAGAGTCACCAGTGTTATTAACTTAATTGATTGGGTAGCAAGGGCCAATCCCAGCCATGGGTAAGGGGTCTAAAGAGTGGTAGGGTCAGCGATATCAGAAAGGCTGTTCCAAGTTAGGGAGCATCATATCTGACTTGTGAGGACACGTGGCATTGGTCAGGAAGTGAACTCCTGCACTGACACACTCTGAGCAGGCAGATTGGAGGTCCCAGAAGAATTGCCCAGAGCTCTGGATTGCGGCTAAAGTGCAAGAAACACACAATCCAGTGAATGCCCGTGGAGTATGTGGCACGTGGGAACATTATTGGTCACGTGTAGGGTTAGAATAAAGGTTGAGAACATCTGATAGAATCCAGTAAAGGGCAATTTGTCAAATTAAATCCATCAGTTAAGTATTTGCCATTTAGATGCAACACAGCGCTTGGGCAGCAACTGATAAACCAGTTCAATAACAATCTTTGAAAGTTGTTCTCCAAACTGCAAAGAAAGCACAACTTGCCTCAATATACACATTAAACTGTTTAAATATGTCCATGGTCACAAATAAAATGAGTTGGTTTGGCTAGGACCAGGATTACAGGCTTCCATCTTAAAGTAGGGATTAAAGCTCTTGGTTATGCAAAACCACTAGTATATTGTAGCAGTGAGTAGTACAAATTTAAGACACAGTACTTTCGATTTGGATTTGGAATGTATTATGTGCTTTTAAATGAATAGGGGGAGTTTCATGTTCTGGGGGTCACTTCCAAAATCCTAATGAAACCTGTCCCAGGTTATTTGATATTTTCCACTCTCCCTGCTACTTTAATTTTTCTAACCTTGTAAGTAAAACTTTCTCTCCAGCTGGTGCTTGTTTAAGTCTTCCCTGATGTTGGAAAGGTGATTGTTACACCTTCACAAAGGCTACATCAGGAACAGATGGAGACATTCAAATATTAAGAAAAGAACTTGAGCATATTAGAAACTATTGAAAGTGAAGTTCTTGAGACTCAGGCTCATGGAAAAACCTTGAAATGTGTTTTTTTTTGGTACCTGAACAATGTAAGTTATCAAGGTGATCAGACTGTTTTTATAATTTATTTTAGGACACTTGGAAAGAATTTAAGCTAAAGAGAGTACCTTAAAACCTAATTTAAAAAGTAATATCCTCTTATTGTAAAATGAATGGAAAATATAGAAAATAGCAAGAATAATATAAAAATCCCCCAGACATTTACCATTTATTAAATGGTAGGTAACCACTTTTTAATGCTTGTTGCATCTCCTTTCTCTTTTTTATTAATATTTGCATATGTTTTTTAAATTTTTAAAAAGGTTTTACAATTTACTTACAATGTAAATTTTTACTAAACAGCTCAGTATATAACGAGTCATTTTGAAACTGACCAAATCTGTGAGCTTTAACATACTCTTCCAGCCAAACCAGGACTTAATTTTTAGTCATTTATTCTACAAAAACCTTATAGGATCGCTGCTTTTTGCCAGGTGCTATGCTTCGCGCTGGCGGACCAAGGATAAAGGACTCTGCCCTTGGCCCTGTTTCTTCATAGTGTCCGCTGCGGTCAGGCCTTGACGGAGGTGGTCACGTTAATGAGCTCCACCTGCAGCCCCTCCTTTGCCCCTTAGTTTCCACAGCTGGTCCCCTTCTCTGGCGCAGCACCGGGCCAGAGCCTGGAAGAACTCTGTCCTGTGGACAGCTTCAGTGTGTATGTTTTCAAACTACAACTGGCGTTTAACAGGTTTAACTGCCTTTTTATTTCATATGTTAGAAACATTTTATAAATCATTAAATTTAATTTTATAATATAATTGTTAATTGCCGTGTAGTATGGAAAGGACTCTAAATGTGTATTTTATGTAGCCAGAGCTCACTGTGATAAATTATAGGTTTTTCTTTTTTCTTTTCTTTGTAGGTTTTAGATACTTGCACAATGAGAATGAATCTAAATTCACCAGCCAGATATCTTTTTGATTTATATGGCAGAAAAATTAAAGATATTTCAAAAGGTAAGTGGCAAAGATTTTGTAAACTAGATGATAATATTATGAAAGGCATTTTTTAAATTTATCCCCACCCCCACCCCTCATCCACCCCACTCCCAGGCCCTCCTCATGCTAATGTCTGTGTCCATGGGTTATGCTTATAAACATACAAGTTCATTGATTAATCTCTCCCCATCCACACCCCCTCCCCACCTTCCCTCTGAGGTCCCTCAGTCTGTTCCATGCTTTTGTGTCTCTGGATCCACTTTGTTCATCAATTTATTTTGTTTATTATATTACACATATAAGTGAGATCATGTGGTACTTGTCTTTCTCTGACTGGCTTATTTCACTTAGCATAATACTTCCTAGTTCCCTCCATGCTGTGCCAAAGGATAAAAGATCCTTCCTCTTCACAGCCGCATAGTATTCCATGGAGTAAATGTCCCACAGCTCTTTTATCCACTCATCTACTGATGGGCACTTGGGCTGTTTCCAGATCTTAGCTGTTGTAAATTGCGCTGCTATGAACATAGGGGTGCATATATTCTTTCTGATCGGTGTTTCAGGTTCCTTAGGATATATTCCTAGAAGTGGGATCACTGGGTCCTATGGAAGCTCCATTTTTAATCTTTTGAGGAAACTCCATACTGCTTCCCACAGTGGCTGCACCAGTCTGCATTCCCACTAGCAGTATACTGGGGTTCCCCTTTTCTCCACACCCTCTCCAGCACCTGTTTTTCGTTGATTTGGTGATGGAGCCATTCTGACAGGTGTGAAATGATACCTCATTGTGGTTTTAATTTGCATCTCTCTGATGATTAGTGTCGTTGAGCATTTTTCCATATGTCTCTTAGCCATTTGTATGTCCTCTTTGGAGAAGTGTCTGTTTAGGTCCTTTGTATGAAAGGCATTTATATAATTTTGTTTTTACTTTATACATTTTAAAGGAAAGCAGATATAGTAAAACAGTTTAATTATAACATGAATAATATATTTTTCTTATACAAAGGGAAATCATGAAAGGGCATTAAGATTTTGGGAATCTTTTATTTCAGCATGTGTTAGTCCACTTGGGGTACTATAATAAAAATATCATAGGCTGGGTGGCTTAAACAACAAACATTTATTTCTTACCGTTACATAGGCTGGTACCAAGCATGATCAAGGTATCAGTAGATTCAGTGTCTGTTGAGGCCTGTTTCCTGATTCTTCTCACTGTGTCTTTATGTGTTAGAAGGGGCAAGGGTAATTTCTGGGGTCCCTGGTATAAGGATACTAATTCCATTCAGGAGGGCTCCACCCTCATGACCTAATCACCTCCAAATACCATCTCATTGGAGATTAGGTTTTAACATATGAATTTGTTAAACACACATATAACACACATATATAATCCTTAGCCAAAAAAAAGTAAGAGTTTTAAAAAATAAGTATCAAAATGTGAGTTATCACTCAATAGTATTGATTAAGGATGATAAAGCCAGGAAAGTTTGCTTTTATAGAGTACAAGGAAGGATACTAGAAACACAGGGGAGTATCCAGTATAGCCATTTTATCACTTACTGTTGCCTGGTGGGTAGAGTATCCCACTTTATATTTTGGCCCTCTTCTGGCACATGGAATTAAGGTTTAGATGAAATGATAGGCCTATAACAATAGCACATTTAATAGTGCTAATAGTAGCACCATTAAAATAATAGTAATTACTAATGAAGTTATAAAAACTAAATTTTTTAAAAGTAAAGTAATAGTAATTACTACTAATGGTAATTTAATTGTAACACAAATGTGGAACTCATAGTATTTTTGCTTTCAGAGACTAGCAAATCAGTGCCTTTAGAAATAAGGATAGAGGTCTTATATTTTGACAAAAGCATACAATAAAATTGCTTTAAAGCACATATCATAACTTCTGAAAAACTTCTAGAAGTTAACCCAAACATTTAAAAACCCTCTGCACATACAGTAGCACCATTTCTCATTTTTCTCTTCTGAAAGCTTATACCAAAGAAATTATTAAATTATGAAAATTTATCAATTTCTTGTTTATTAGGTTATGGTTTACTAAGGTTAAAATACTAATCAGTGTTTAAAAAAATCTAAACTTGCTCTGTGCTACAGAATGTTTGTGTGTGTCTCACCCCAAATTCATGTTAAAACCTAATCTCCATTGAGATGGTATTTAGAAAATACATATATTTTTTCTTGGTCATTTAAAATATTTGTATTAGATGTAATGATTATTTTTAATTAGGAGTTTTCATCTGAAGATTTCAAAGCACTTGCAAACACCCATTATCTAGAAGCATTAGATAGTTATTTTCCTGTAAGACACATGTAACACAGGGAATCCTTGCCTTATGGATTTTTTTTTTTTTTTAAGGGTGGGGAAAGTATCATTGTTAAAGTTGATTTCTTGTTTTTTGCATTTTTCCCCTCTCCATCATGCTGGCTAAAATTTTCTTTCTGCTCAACCATATTATATAATCACTTTTAAACTTTTATTAATAAAAATAAATAGCTTATTTTGTTAAGATCCTATCTAGCTTTGAATTATTTCCAGCCCACCTAAAATTTTAGATTTGAGTTAATTGCTAGAATTGAAACTATAAGGAACCCTGGCTAAGATAAAAGATTTATGTTTAGAAGGTTGATTTTTCCCCCCCTCCCAAATATGGTATAACAAATTGCTTATCAAAACAAAATCTCTGACTCTGAGATGTGATACTTCATGGATGCCACAGGCATTCGGATTCATGCCTCGTGCTCACGTGTCCCAGAAGTGTGCTATTATCACATTTTAATGCATGCCTTGCCCTGTGTTTTTGCATACTTATAAAAGCTCATGCCAGCTGAAATTAGCCTATGCAACTACTAACATGTGGAAGCATAACAAATTCACAGGATTTAAAATACTTAAAGAATCTAATCCTGTTGGAGGAACTTCCAAGTCTGTAGCACCCTAGTCACTTAACATTAGGTATGTGCATTTCTTTCTTCTTTGTTTGTTAGTATGATTTTGTGCATCATATGATTGAGTTGCCTAAACTTTTATGTTTGATGGTCTTTTGAACTTCAACTTGGGAAAGGTCAAGTGTTATGTGAAAGTTATCTCTTAATTTCAATAAATAAATGCTAATACTCCAATTTGATGTATAACTTTTTTTTTCTTTCTTGCTCTGTTTTGGATAAGAAAAAGTCATTTAATAATGGTAATGTTAAGATCATAGCAATTACTTTTTATTTATAGGCATAGATTAGAAGCATAATTGTACTAAGGACTAAAAGTAATGGATACACATAAAAAAATCTATCTGTTGATTCTTTTTTGGAATTAAATATACTTTCAAATTTTCCTCATATGCTGAGAAATGAGCACATTTGACATGACATTAAACTACTTTTGGTAAAACCTTTAACAACCCATAGGATATGAAAATTGCTTGTGTTTTTAGATTTCTAAACAGAAGAGTTTAACAAAGAAATTTTTTTTTTACATGTGGCAAAGTCCTTTGGTTGTGGCTCCTGTATAAATCTATTCTTTCTATACTAGAAGATAACTACCGTTGTGCAAAGATGCCATACTCCTGTATATGGTCAACGTGCTAGTACAGCATTTCTGCTGGGACATAATATATGCATGAAAAATGCAATCTGTAAAATCACTCCCGCCAAAATAATAGGGTTATGGAAAAATGGAGTTGAGGAAAACCATTCAAAATCTGTGCACCTTTAAAACCAGAATACTAACTAAAAATAATAATTATTAACTTAGGGGATAGTGTAACAGCCTGGGTAGGCAGCTCAGAGTGCTGCTTCAGGGGATGCAAAAGCTGCACAGAAGCAATGCTCGGGCGTGAGACCATGCAGATGGAAATCTCCTTGGAGGTTTGAGCCCTGGAGCTTCCTCTAAGGAAGTCACAGAAGGAGGACAAATCCCACAGAGGCATGCAAGGCCGGGAGTGCTCCTTTCTGGGAAGGGAATCCCAGGACAGCAGCCAAAGCCAGGTGTCTTTTTCTTTCCTGCTAAAGTGTGGAATCCTACTCCTACTCGCTCGGCCTCCTTTGCCAAGGAAAAGCGTATACTCAGCACGCAAACTTCCCCATGGTATGGACGTCATTCCCCTATTTGCTGGTTGTATGTGAGCTGTTTGGCTATTGCAGCACACTGGCTGTGGTAGGACACATGCAGGTAGTGTCAGGTCCCGACAGACCTGTGTGATAACACTCATTACCCCCGACCGCCCCACTTTTTGTAACTTGTTTGGCTTGATTATTACATATGGTGAACCAGAGGCCTCCCTCTCCCACTTGGAGGAGGAAGATCTTCAGTGTCTTAGGAACTTTTGGAGGCTGCTCTGCTCCTTTGTGGATTCTTTTAGATTATGGTGGGTAATATGAAATTGACCCTAGAAGATACTTAAAGTAGCACATTAACCTAATTGGCTCCACTTAACAATCATTTCTTATCCCATTTCCCACCCCGAATCGTGCCCAGCCAGTTTTCAAAATAGCTATATATTCTCTGACAAGTTCTTCAGATTCTGCAATGAGATCAAATGGCAGGATTAACGTATTTCAATCAGAAACTTTCAATATCATAGAGATACCCTGAATCTGAATGCTAACTCTTGCCCATTATCAATTTTTGTGTGAAATTAAATTCAAATTAAAAAATCCCCAAGAAATTAAAATACCAATTTAAAAAGTCTACACAGAAGTGAATTCCAAAATCAAATAATCTTACCTTTGTAAGTTAAAATCCAATATAAGTTCAAACTCCTCAAGTTAAAATCCAAAGAAATTAAGGTCCTGTCTCATTTTTATTCTGCCCAGTGTCAGCCAGATGGCTTCTGGATGCCTGGTTTGAGCTGGAATTTCTCCAGTAGCGACTGTCTGGGCTCCTGCTGTGGGTGTCATCCCTTGGGACCTCAGAAGTTGAGATGAGTCTACACCAACTTTATCATGTGCTCTACTTCCAACTGAACCAAAAGATAATCACAACATCAGACCCACGCCTAGCACATTCAGAGCAGCAGCCAATCCCCAGTTTCTAATGTGGCCATTCCCAGCAAAATGATGTGTCGAAGACCCTGTGTTTGGCATGATCCAGACCCATGGGACTGTTGACAAAGAGCACAGCAGAGTCTAAGGGGAGGAAGGCAAAGGAGAGAAAACATTCTTTATGTCAGTCTTTTCAAGAAGCTAGTTGATTTATGCCATTGAGCAGGGCCTCTGCCCTGTGACATAACTCACTGGGAAGCAACCTTCCATCNAGTCTTTTCAAGAAGCTAGTTGATTTATGCCATTGAGCAGGGCCTCTGACCTGTGACATAACTCACTGGGAAGGCATTAATTATATAGACTTATGCATTTATAATATCTTGAGGGGAAAATTAACCAGTGCACACTTTCCCCTCTCTCTAAGAGGCTGCCTAGAGTGTTGGTTAAGTGCTCTGATTTTGGAGCCAGAGTTCACATTTTAGTCATATCACTTATTGTCTGACCTTGGACAGATTACTTAGTTTCTCTGAGAGTCCGTTTTCTCATCTGTAAATTAGAGATGATAGTACTTATCTTAATTGGTTGTTGTAAGGACTAAATGAATTATATGTGAAGTCCTTAGAACAAGTGCTTGACACTTGGTAAGCATTATAACATCTTTATTATTGCTGCTAATATTATCATCATCATTATTCTCAAAGAGCACTGGGAGCGCTGCATTCTTGCAACTGTGGAAACTTATATTGGTGGCAGACCCAGTCATAAAGGCTGTTTGAGGTACTGGTGTTTCCCTTTGGAAAGTATTCTAAACATCTTAATGTTCTTTTCCCTCTGAGTTCCATATTTTTGGACTCCAAGCTGAACTGAGGGTGGGCCCTGTCTTGCGGCATAGCAACCACCTTGTCTTGGCTGCACTGTTTTCATTCCTGGGTCACAGTGGCTGCTGTAACAGCCTGTGGTTAGAGAATTATTTAAGCCTAAGAACCATACTTCATGGGATTAGCTTTCCCCTCACTTCCATGTTGGCTTCAATTGGCGAATAGCTTTTGGTGGGTTTCTGAATTGAATTAGCTGTTCATGTTGTTAAGGCTCCTTAGGTGCCCAGTGAGGACCAATACTACTGCTGTTTCCTCCTGAAGACATGGTTTTCCTTAGTTTTTGAATGCCCCTGACCTTGAGTCGATGTTTCTGATCCCTTTTTCTGCAGATTGTAGGATTTGCCTCTGGGGTTCGCCTCTACTGCACTGTTCCTTTTAGACAAGTCCCCTGCCTTCTCTGACAGGCTTGGGCTGCGTTGTTTGCTGCAGCAGAGTTCTTTCTTATTTTTTTCCTTTTACTTTCCCTTTGCTTCCTGGTCCACACTTGTGTTTTTCTAACATCTTCCTCTAGATATTTTTCTTGCAGGGTCTCTCATAGTGAGAGATAGAAAGTCGATAAGTCCCAAGCTTGTCAATAGCACCCTTTGTTCAGACCAGCCCTGTCCATTTTCACCCCCCTGAGTTAAATAATCATACTCAGGATGTATTTTCCCACCAGCCAGCATCTAATTTAGATCTGACTCTTTGATCTGTTACTGTTCTGCCTGGATCCCTGTTAAGAGAATTCATCTTGCCGTTGTCTTTTCTTAATCTTACGCCCATACATTTTTGGAGTTCACTAAATACTTTTTTTTTTAGTGTTTTATGCTAATCTTCCTAGTATCCCTTCTCCAATCTGTCCTGATTTTATGTGCACTCTGTATAATCATCCCATCCTCAGCAGAGATTCTCTAATTGCTCTTATTTAATTTACCTGTAACATAGATCCCACCTCTGACAGCATTTGGGATTCTGGCTCCTCTGGGGGATTGTTCTGAGTTTGTTTTCCAAGGTCATATTTTTATTCCTGTTAGGTTTCACTGGGCCCCAGTTACCATTTCTGGTTTTGTAAGAACTAAAATATTTTCTCTTTTTGTAATAACCTCTTTAAGAGTTGTTAGATTTGGATGTGTCTCCTGCACCCTCATTCCTGGTCTTCAGGACCTCAGTTTCTCTTTTTCGTTCCTGTCAGGGGTGTGTGCTAAGATCAGATGTTGTCTTTATTCTAAGGCAACCTCTTTCGTCCCCCAGCTAAGTAAGCCTGTCTTTCAATTGTTTTCATGCACACACTGCTGTATGCTCATCATAAGGTTGAAGCATATTTATTTTAATTTTTAAACATTTAAAAAATTATAGTTGACATGCAATGTTATGTGAGTCTTAGGTGTCCAACAGTTACTCAACATTTATATACCTAACGAAGGGGTCACTGCGATAAAGTTGATAATCACCATCGCCATACTAAGTTATCACAGTGCTATTGGGACTTTCCCTACACTGTATGTTATCCCCGTGGATTATGAATTTTATGACTGGAAGTTTGTGCCTCTTCTTCCCCCTCATCTTTTCCCCCCATGTCCCCTCTCGCACCATCAGTTTGCTCTCTGTATCTGTGTGTCTGTAAGATGGAAGCATCTTTTTAAACCACTTTACTTTCTTCTTGATTCCTTTAGCAGGTCTTATTCCCAGATTTGTAATACTTTCATCGAGTTATTCTCTAGCTTAACCAAAGAAGACAGAGAGCTCTCTTTATAATAAGTCCCCACCTTTTTGTGGGTGAAGCTGAAGTTTGGGTTTCTGAAATTTAGAACCATGGTCAAAATTTATGTGATAAATGAATGTAGAGCCAACTTGGGTTGGTAGAGTTACTTTAAAAGCTTGTGAAGAGGCTTTATGAAGCTAAGGTTGGCTCATCCACAGTTGCTTTCTGGCCCAAAATGCAGTTTTCAATAATATAGTGAAGACCAGAATTTGAGACAGGGGACCTAGTGCTGCCTGTCTGGCCTGGTACTCACAATTTAAAGACAGAACCTCACTGCAGCACCTGCAGAACTCAGCTGCCATTGTACTTTAAAGTCTTGGCCTGCAGGTTGGCCTTCAAAACACAGAAAAGCAGCAAATGTTCCAACTTCCAATGCTGAAAATGACCGAATCGCAGTCTCATACTTACCTACAGTAACAGGCGAAGCTCACGGCGTGGCCTAAGAGTAAGCTGCAGCAGCCTTCACAGCAAGGCGAGCGTGCCTGGCTAGGGGTGCTAGGGCTTCCGCAATTTTCCTTGGTACACTAAAGTCATCCACTCCTCCCTGCCTGGCATTTTCTGAAGGCCTAGGCTATTGGAAAACAATCCCAGCTGCATTGAACTGCTATGACCCATCATGCTTAAAATTCTACATAGCCCTTGCCTAGTATAAAATTTCTGGCCAACCTTCCTATTTTCCATGTACAAGTCCTTTGGTAAAATTACAATTATGAAACTGTACATTTATCTGCATGACCCAATATAAGCTGCCAGACAGCGGCAAGGTTAAACAGCAAACAAACAGAAAACTCACACAATCCTTGCATATTAAAGCACCATCAAAGCATAAAGCCAAGGCCTGGTCAAGGCCCCTCTAGAAGTCTCAATCTTTTTGTGTCATTTGCTCCCCAGAATTACTTGCATATTGCTTGTGGAAATGTAAAGTGGTGCAGCCACTGTGGAAAACAATTTGGTGGTGCTTCCAAAAGAGAAACACAGATAAACATCAATAATGATCAATAGAGGGCCCTGTAATTCCACCCCTGGGTGTGTACCCCCAAATAATTGAAAACATGAGAAAGCAAGCACAGGTACATACATATTATAATGGCATTGTGGGTAATAGTCAAAAGGGAGAAGCCAACTCGCTGTGAAAGGATGAAAGTAGAAATACATGTGGTATATACCTACAATGGGATATTATTCAGCCGTGAAAAGGAATGAAGTACTGATAATGCTTTAATGAACCTTGAAATCAACCTTGAAAACATTATGCTACACCCGGCCAGGCGTGGCTCAGCAGTTGAGCATCGACCTAGGATCCAGGAGATCGTGGTTCGATTCCTAGTCAGGGCACATGCCCGGGTTGTGGGCTTGATCCCCAGTCGGGGCCGTGCAGGAGGCAGCTTATCAATGACTCTCTCATCATTGATGTTTCTATCTCTCTCTCTCGCTCTCCCTTCCTCTCTCTGAAATCAATAAAGATATATTTAAAAAACAACAACAAAAAACCCACATCATGCTAAGTGGAAGAAGCCAGACATAAAAAGTGACATATAGCTCCATTTATGGGAAATAGCTAAAACATATTCGATACAGACAAAATGTAGATTGGTGTTTGCCAGGGCTGGGTAGAAAGGGGAACGGAGAGAAACTGCTTAATGTGTAAGGGATTTTACTTTGGAATGATGAACATATTTTGGAACTCAATAGAGGCGGTGGTTGTTCATTTTGAATGCCGCTGGGTTGTTCACTTTGAAATGGTTGGTTTTGTGTTAGGCGAATTGCACCTCAATAAATGATCTTTTAAAAAGAAGTGGAGCTGAACCAGTTCACCCCAGTTATTCCAGCCAAGGTCATCCTAGATCAGCTGACAGCCAGCTAATTCCAGGACATGTGAGCAAGCCCTGCCAAGACCAGCAGAACCACCCAGCTAATCTGCAGACTCTTGAACTAAATAAATGCTTATTGTTTTATCCCACTGAGCTTTGAGCTTGTTTGTTTTTACAGCATTATTGTGGCAACAGATACCAAATACAGTTAGCTGTTTATATTAATAAATATTATTACATTATCTTTATTCACTAGTTAGACAGCTAAATTATATTCCTATATGTTAATCCTTTATGTTGCCAAAAGGCAATTTTCCTAATATACTCTGTATTTTTTATTTTATTGTTTGCTCAAAACTTTACATATCAAGACAATCTATGCATTCTGTCTCCTGACATTCAAGCACCTTCATTATGTGGCCTGGCCCTACTCATTCAACATAACCACCCACATCTCATAACTTCCCAGCACACACCTTGTTTCAGCTGGGCCGGCCAGGCCCCTTCAATGTCTCAGTGCAATGACTCGTGCAGTGCCCAGCTTCCTGACCTTTGCTAACATTATTTTATGTCCACTCAATAATTTTTCTATTCTTCTCTATTCAAAGTTCAGCAACTTGCATCAGTTAGCATATGTATTATTTTATGGTATCAAATGACACTAAAACTCTCAATGGCTCATACAGAGGTCTATTTTCACTGATTCTACATGTTGCTGTGGGTTGACTGCACCTGCTCTAGTTTATGTCAAAGCAAGTCAAATGTCATCTTCTTATAAGGGGACATATAATCCTTCCCCAAGGAAGGGCATTTCAAGCCACATGGCTAAGGCAGACATGAATAATGGGGGAAGTATAATTTTCCTTCAGGGAAGGGCAGGAAATATTTTGAATAATAATGGAATATATTACACTACCTGCTATCCAAAATCTGTATTTGTTATCAATTGCTGTGCAAAAAATGACCCCCAAACTTAGCAACTTCAGGCAACACATGTATTACTTCAGAACTTCCATGGGTCAGGAAATCAGGCATGGCTTAGCTGGGTCTCGCACAGAGCTTCAAACAGGTGTCTGCATGAGCGTCTTAAATATTTCTCAAATCCCACTTTATTTATTTTGTTTACTTATACTTCCTTTTCATAACTTTTTTGATACCACCTGTCTTTACCACATGTCGTACGTTTGTTTATATAGCACCTCTGTTTTGTGTATAAGGCTTATCTCTTTAACTAAAGGGAGATTTTGTTTTTATACTTAATGCCCTCCAGAAATGTCCTAATATCTACTATGGGACTGGGCATATAATGGACCCTCAAAAAATAATATTCAAAAAACAGTTGTTAAGCATAATCTTTGTTGAGTATCTGAAATGTAGTAAGTAATGAAAAATACTTTTTAAAAGAATGAATTAAAACTCAAAAAAATTCTTTGTTGAATTAAATTTGCAATGAATTACCCATTATTAACTACTTCTTGTTGCCATTCTCACTGATGTCCCTTAATGATTCTCCAGCTACTTGGAGGTGTTTGGGTTGTTTTTGGTATTTCTCTTTGTGGGACCTCACATTGTACATAATTTTCCAAGTCAATCAATGACAAGTAAAGCAGTCCACATCCTCTTTTTTTTAGGCCATCATATAATCTACAATTGCATTATTATTTCTATTAGATGCATCATATTGTTCACCTATATTGAACTTAAAGTCAACCAAAGTTCCCCAATTTTTCCTCATAATTTGCTTTTAAGCTGCTACTTCTTCCTTACCCTATTTTATACATCAATTCCTACTAAATTTCTAATTACAAGGTTTTTATTTAGTAGTTTAGCCTGCCAAGATCTTTCAGATACTTAGTCTGTCATCCAGAGCTTAACAGTATCTAAACAAATAGGGTAGATATTATAAAATAGTACAAAAGTTGGGGATGCCGCCCTTCTCTTAGATTCCTTTTGATGTTAAGTGGAAAATTCAGAACACTGAGAAAGACTTTAATTAAAATGCTTCCCTCTCCTTTTAAGCCCTAAAAGTGCCTAATACTATTCTTGTATTTCTGTGGGCTCCTGTTCTGCTGTATGTGGAATCTGTAATGGTCCAGATAGGTTGGGCCCTGGAAATGGCATTTCTTTCTTAGCTCAGGGTGGGTAACTCAGAAGCATGTATAGCCTATGATCCACAGTTTAGCCCCATG